AAGGCAATCTGTTTCTATTGTTCAAAAAGGAGTCACATTTCCAATGCAGGCTGTGAATGAATAATGACCCTTTTAATACTACGGTTGAAGTACACTGAAAATAAAATGACGTGGCACAAATTTCCGGCCTACTACAGTCATACAAGCAATACAAGCAAAAGTCCCTGTTATACCAGATGCACATTAAGTCCTCTCCTCTCAATCAATGTGCTGCTCATTTTGCAGACTTCAGATGACAGAGGCTGCCCTCGCCCTCTCCGAGCAGAAAAACCACAATATGGGAGAGCTGCTGACGCGAGTGAAGAGTGAGAAAGAAGAACAGAGGGAACGACAAAGCAGGGCGACGAAAAAAGAGCAAGAGGTACGGACAGCCGGGACGAGAGACAACACCGCAAGAAAACCCTTGTTTCACCTCAAATGTGATGTGTACTGGAAACATGATTCACATTTATTACTACTGTAGGTAGATCTCACATGCGCAACTAGATTAGTTGCTACTACATTAGATGAGAAAAAATAAAAAGATGTTTTAATTCCCTTCATTTTCTAGTTATTCAATTCACACATTGACTTAAACTACCGGATGTAACTCATGTGTCCTTCCTGTAGGACAGTGCACTCAGAGAAGGTAAACTCCTTAGAGAGATCCAAAACCTTACAGAAACCAACGGCCAACTCAAGAATAAAGTAAGTCTGTGGAACACACACAGACATGGGCCAGCACTGCATTATGAGCACTATTGTATTGGAGCGGTTGTGTGCGTGTGTCTTAGGTGGAGGAGCTGGAGCGCAGGTGTAAGTCTCAGCAGCAACAGATCTTCGAGCTGAAGCAGGAGTTGACCAACAGCACGGCAGAGCTCAAGCTGCAACTAGCGCAGGCAGAAGGTAGAACACACACACACACAGCACAAAGACATAAAGAGAATGTATTTTCCTACACACAACCCAGCATATGTCCTGTATGTCCCCCTCTAACAGACCGTCTGGAGATAGAGAAGAGAAGGTCCAAGCAAGCTCTGCAAGACATGGATAGTCTCCGCCAGAAGGAGGTGCTCTCATGTCTTTAAACATACTGTATACTAGATATACTCCTGTTCATTTATATTTCATACATACTAAATCATTACTAAAAACTAAATTATAATACATATAAATGACATGAATGCTGAAGGTTCTAATTTGTAACAGGTGGAGCACGTGAATCGACATCTGGAAGATAGCGAGAGGGCTCTGCAGGAACGCATCTTCAGAGTGGAAGGACAGCGGATACAGCTGGAAGAGGTCAGAATTTATAGTATACATGTGTAAAACACAAATGACACACAACTTATTGCGTTTATTTATCAGCTATCATGGCGTTACAGCGTAGTCAAACATAGCACTGCCAGACATCCAGAACCAATTTTAAAAGACACAATGTAAAGCAGTGTTTTGTTTTATTCAAGCTTGTCCCTTCCCGGGAAATGGAATCGCTTATGGAAATACCACGTTGAGACGCCAGGAACTATTTTCCCCCATTTGTTTCTGTTGCCGTTGGAGATTGTTGATTGACTGCTCACCAAAACACCAATCTATTGGAGCAAATGAAATAATACTGTAGGATGTCTATTGTTACCATTAAACTGAACTATAAAACAAATCCACTATCAGAGGCCCTTCACGGCGATAGCAGTACACTCTGGCACATGCGCAAATTCAACCTTTGCATATTTTGTGAGAAGCAGATGAGGTTTAGTGCCAGAGACCAATGGGAGGCTGTCTTCATTGTTTTCCCTATCTGTATCTTTCCTGGCAGTTCAGTTATTCAAATCCCCAATTTTAAAGCTGGGAATCTCCAGTCCACCTGTGTTCCTTCTCATGTCTGTTTGTTGTAGGAGCTGAGTAAAGCTAAAGCTGCGTGTGTGATGGAGAGGACCCAGGCAGAAGAGGAGCTAGGAAAGGTGCGAGCTCAAGCGCGTCTGGAGGAGGTGGGTTTAAAAAATCAGCACCCTTGATCATTAACGTGCAGTTATAGAGGTTTTTTGAGCACAATCAAATCCTCAGTAGTCAAATCCAGTATTGAATGTTTACCCTTCAAGATATGCAAGTAAATAGGACTAGCCTAGATCCAACACAAAACCTTGTCCACACCTTTTCTTTTGGCTATATATGACATAATATCAAATATATATTTGATATATTATATCAAATATAGTTAATCAAATGCATCTGATCAATCAATGATCAGTCAATGAACGCCTGCAGCCTGTTGTACTTAATCAGCCATTGTCTTCACTCTCCTGATACAAAACTATGCACTCAGAATCTCCATCATCCTTATGTTGGTTCTTCCTGTGAGCAGCAGGAGCATGTGTCGACCTTGGAGGAGAAGCTTCGCTCCGTGCGTTCCCTCCAACAGGAGACTCAGCTCCACTGCTCCCAGCAGAAACAGACCATCTCTGAGCTGCAGGCCAAGAACAGCCAGCAGAGCATGGAGATAAACGGACTGCGGCGCAGGACAGAGGAGCTCCAGCAGGTGAGGATCCACCTGTCTGTAAGAAGGAGGGAACCGTTACAATCATTCCTCACATTCTTGGTCATTACCTTACTCGGTGACTTGCACAGATTGGCGATCGACCGGTCGATTGTAATCAGCCTACCCCTGAGCCAGATATTATGTCCGTCTAAAGAGATGGAATTGTCAGTCACCTAAAGTTGAGGGGATAAAATGATTGGGACTTTTGTATGAAGGCAAATGAATGGAAAGGATTGGAATGTTGTTGCAGGAGCTGTCGGGGAAGGACCAGGAGAAGGTGGCCGAAGTAAGCCGTGTGAGGGTGGAGCTGCAGGAGCAGATTGGACATTTACATGCTGAGAGAACCGCTCAGGGGGGCCTCAAAGAGAAGATCAGTGCTCTGGAGAGAGAGATTAAAGGTGCACCACTCTTTTTTTTGTTTGTTATTTTCTCATCTTTTTATACAAGTATTTTTACATTTTACCAAGTTATATTCTATTCTATATGCCTATCTCACGTCCGTCAGCCGCAAATTAGGTCTCGGACGCAGACTCGTCGGTTTCCTAAACAGGAACTACTTTATTCAAGCGAAATATCAAAAATGCTTAGGGGAAAAAACAGGAACCAAGACATAATTTGAAACAGGAAACCACCATCGACAATGAACCTACAAAACGTTGAGCGACACACCTGGTTTAAATACACTGGGAAAGGGCAGGGGATTGGACGCATGAGTAAACAATCAGGGAGATGGCAGAGAATCACAATCACAGGGAAAACACACCAGGGCAGGAAGTGAAGTTAATCCAAGGACACGAGAGGCAGGAAACTACAAAATAAAACAGGAAATGAACCCACAGAGTAACTGTGTGTGGATAATTTACTCTGGTTGTAATATGTGCAGAAATATTAAAGCAAACTAGATTTAGCTAGATCACCCAGTCAAATGCATTGCAATACAATGCAATATTTCATATTTCACGAGATTGTAGATTTGAAAATGAACTATTTTCTGTAGTACGGTCTTTCATACCATTTCTCCCTCTGTGGCTCGCTCTCCTGCAGCGCTGGGCAGTAACCACAGAGAGGTGCTGCTCGACAAAGAGAGCGAAATGTCGTCTATGCAGGAGAAGCTGCGGCTAAAAGAGGCAGAGATCCAGAGGATGAGGGAGGACGAAGCCCACAGAGCCAGCTACCTTCAGAGTGCCATCCTCACATACGTCCAGGGCTCTCCTCTGGGACACTACAGCAGCTCCAAGAAATAACCGCTTATCCCCCCCAGAACACTCACTCCATTCCTGCACAGGTCAAGAAAAATCTTGATTGCCTGAAGTCTGAGGGAAGATACCTCAACACACTCTGCAGTTACAATCAAAAAATGAGAGGTCAAAGAAGTCATTCATGGGCCCAAGAAGATAGATATGACATGTAAATTATAATTTGATGCGGTTTTTAGATCTTTGGATAACTTTAGCACATTAATGCTCTTGCAGGAACGGACAACCCTAAGATATTTCCTCTATTGCCTTAAGTCAAAACTAAATTTTGACTCCCCCTTACCGGTGTAGTAATGAACACTTTGGCCTCTACACCGTCACATCTGTCTGGCTCAGACACACAACGAAAAGCCGATTCACAAAATGACTGTTTCTATGAAAAACATTAGGAATAAAGTCCAACTTAAACTCCGGACGTAGTCTTTTAAAATGTAAATTGCAATTTTTTATCTCAATACATCAGATATTTGATGTTGATGATGAATATTTGTGTTTTATATTCTCAGGTGTGTTTTTAACATTTTGCCGATTTTGAACAGATGTGTTTTGTTGATGCGCTTGTTTCTGAAATAAATATAATGATTTACGCGTGTGGATGATTGGCAGTTGATCGGAATTAGTTTGTTAGTCTACTCAACAGATGAACATTTAGGGTGTTGTGTGTTAGTTGGACTGGGTTGGTGTATGAGGTCACTGGGTCTTGAAATTACTGCCAAGGATCCTTAACTGTGTACGTACATGCATACGCATGAAGTCTATGAAAGTCACTGTGGAGGAAACGTCATCTTTCTAACTTTTCTAACTGTTTCTCAAGGCATCACTGATCAAGTGTATCGGTCTGGTGGTGTAACATACCATGCGTATTTCCACATACTTTTGGGATTCCTAACATTGTTTAGGTATTCGATATATTTTGTTTTTTAGCAGCATGACATTTATTAAATTATACTCATTTACAATTCTGGTCTAACAACTGTTCAGCATGTGGTTTTATTAGTAGTAAAAGTAGTGGTGGTGGTTGTAGTAACGTTAAATAAGCTAGTAGTCTAGTAGCCAGTAGGGGGGCGAACCGTGGCCCATGGAGTAGGGACGGTGCGCCGGTAACCCGATTGATGGTTCGAATCCCGGCTGCTCCATGTCCCTGAGCAAGACGCCCAACTGCTCCGCGCGCCTTTACGGCAGCACACTGCTCCCTCTGTGTAGGGCGGGTTAAATGCAGAGAACAATTCCCCTATGGGATTAATAAAGAATAACTACTTTCTTCTTCTAGTATTCTAGTCCAGTGACGGCTAGTATCGGCAGTAGTAACTGGACGTCTGCTAGTAGGCCTCGTAGCATTGTAGGCTAACGTTATAGTGGTAGCATTGTTGTATCGTAGTATAACCATTGTAAACGAGTGGTAGTAGTAGTTGTGTAGATTAATAGTAGTAATACTGCCGTGGGCTAGTAGTAACGTGCTCGGTTGAATCATTTCGAGGGAGAAGGAAGTAAGAAACGTCGATCGTCGTCCCGTCTGCTCCGTGCTCTGGCCCTTTAAAAACGCTCGCTACTTTCCGGATTTGCTCGGCACTGCTCGTCATCGACCTCTTTCACTGCGGCTCCCATCGCCGAGCGGACTGGCCCGCTTCTCTCATCCGAGACCTCAGCGCAGACCGTCGGATCTATTCAATCACCAACGCCGGCTCCCTGAAAGCCTCCAACTCCTGTAGAAATGCAGGCTATCAAGTGTGTGGTGGTGGGCGACGGGTGAGTGCACGCTCACGCGAACACAACGCCAGCGCATTTTCTCGTGTGTTATTCGGCGAAGCGTCCGCGGATGGGTGGTGATGGGAGGATGCTATGTGGGTAAAGGGGCGAGGGCTCACCGACCGGTCGGTCGCCCGGTCTCCTGCGGTCGGCTCCGTAATGGTGGATTGATAACCGCGGTTAACGTTAGGTGCTCTGTGGGGGGCTTTCGGTTTGAGCGCATCGTGGGCTCCGGTCCATTGTGACGCGGGGAGCGGATGTGGGAACACAAGCCGCGTAGGCCACTGGAGGAAGGCTGAAGTGCTGATGCACGCTAAGGAATTTGTGGCCCTGTCAGTGGCAAACAGGCCCCGATGCTTTCATTCTGCTCACACGGTGCCTTTCTTACTGCACCCAGATCACGTTCGGCTTCGTGTGGACCGACGTTTGGAGCGGGCTCTTCGTCATTTCTACTTTTAAAACATTGGTCATTGGTGTCTATTTTAGAGGATTTAAGAATAGGCCCGAGTCCTATTTTGAATGATTAAAGTCAAAATGCTAATACTACAATTTTCAAATGCTGCATTTTTCAGTATTTCGACTTTTCTGAGACTTAGTTTTGATGTTATTCGTAGATGATCTGTTCAGATCTGTTACATATCACTTCATGCACCATCGCCCCACCATTCAAGCTCAGTTGATGCATCTTTGGGAATACCACTCAGTTGCTCCCTAAAGCCTTAACAAAAAACCGATGATGTCATCAACTTGGGCCTGGAATGTAGCCTGCATTAAAACATGGGAATACAGACTGTTAACCAGGTGGTAGATATATATTCTTGCACTAAATGTGTCGCAAGTTTTTGCGCTGCATTATTTTCACAGACGTGTGTGTTTGTTGCCTCTGTGTTTGGTGACTGTGTTCAGAAGGTAAATTACAAATATCTAACAACAAGCTTTTGTACATTTTATTTTTATTAGCCCTAAATTGGCCAATATTGGAACTTTTTTTTAGCAGGATATATTTATAGGAAAAGCACATTTGGAAAGAATACAATGAATGATGGCTGAATTCAATTCAGCTACCTTAGTTTAGGACTCCTGCTATTTCTCTTGCAGTCTCACTGTCACAAAATGATAGTTTAAGGAGCCATGTTAATGGTCTCAATGACGTCACACATTGATTAATGTGCAACAGCAACTCGTCAGGACACGAGAAGGTGGAGCAAATGTAAACGGAACGCCGAATGAGATATTAGCAACTAAAATGTTATAATTAACTAAAACGTAACGTTCATAACTAGAAAGTCAAACATGGCCCCGCCCCACCAGAGGAGTCGCCCCCTGGGGGGCGTTAGGAAGAATACAGGCTGTGGGTACTTCTTACTCTCAGTAATCTCAGAAACTGCACTTTTTTTTGTTTTCCTCCAGTCTCTCTCTTCCATATATTTATGAATTGGATGCATAAAGCCTCTGGATATGTGTGACCTTTCAATTTCAAACTACTTCAACTCAAACCATACACTTCTTTGTTTTAATTTGCGGAACCAGAATTTGCATTGACTTCATTCTTTAAATATATTTAATAATGGAAAACACATGGTTCCAAGTCAAGGATACCGGCCTGTGAACATAAAATTGCAAATTGGGGAAGTTCCCAACGTGCTTTTAACTAATACACAAATTCTTTTCAGTCTTTTTCAGTTGCAAATTACATGCAGATGATACTTTATTTGAGAATTCCATTTTGGATGTATTCTGCAGGTGTCGAGCACTTTTTTGTTCACAGCTGCTACAGCAAAGTATTACAAATGGTCTTCCTGTGCTTTCTCCATAGCAACGGCAATAGAGGCTCTCGGAAAAATCAGGAATCAGGAATCAGGAAACATTTATTAGCCAAAATATGTCAAACATACAAGGAATTTGTCTTGGCGGTTAGTGCGCGACAGTAGACAGACAAGACAACAGTGCACAAGTAATAAAATAAAGTGGGATGAAATGCTAATGCAATGGGTTAGTAGAATAAGGCTAAGGCTATGGGTTAGTATAAAACAAGGGAATAAAGTTAAAAAAATTTAAAAAGTTAAAAAGAAAAATATTAAGCATAAAGTGCACTAACAAACAAGTAACAGACAAGAGACAAAGTGACAAGTGACAAAGTGATGAATTGCAGTTAAAGTGGCATGTGCAGTATGAGGGGGAGTGACCGGTGGAGGGTTATAGTCAGTCAGTGGGGGACCGGCTCTGTTGACGAGCCCGACTGCCGACGGGAAGAAACTGTTGGTGTGGCGGGAGGTCGTAGTCCTGATGGACCTCAGCCTCCTGCCAGATGGAAGGGGCACAAAACGGATAGACGAAACATTAATTGTTAATCTAAAATCTTAAATTCAAAGTGGTGAAGCGACAGCATTGTTACACTATCGGACTCACACTGTTTCTTGGTTGAAAGTGAAGGATAGACTTTGACAGACATAACGAAGAGCTGAAAGGGGGGGTCCTCAAACCACCAAAATCCCACTGCATTTTTTTTGTTTCTGTGTAAAAATGTTCTTCATTGAGCAAAATGTGCACTTCCTGGGCTTCCTGTTCAGTACAGTAGGGCTCAGGAGGGGAGGGGCCGCTCTGCGTACTGTTTACTAGCAGAGGAGGTAGGTTGTGCACGTGAGTGTGTGGAGGGGGGGGTTAACATAGGGGGCTACTGTGTCCCTCAGGCGACATGAATGTAGGCCAGTGTCTTTGTGCCACAGAAGGAGAATGGAGGAGCAGCCTGCTTTGACGCTCTTTCACACAGACTTTGTGGAAGCGTTTTCCTACTTTCGTTTTTGCTCATGTGTCCTCTTGTCCCTCGTTCCTCAGGGCGGTGGGTAAGACCTGTCTGCTGATTAGCTACACCACCAATGCCTTCCCTGGGGAATACATCCCCACTGTGTAAGTAAACCACGCTCTGCACATACTGAAGTGTCCCATATACATGGGTTCCCATTCAAAAAATGGAGATTTATTTTAACCTGTCAACATCCAGCATCAAATAACTACTTATTTAACCTGTGCCGCTATCTTTCCTTAATATTTTCAGTGTCTCACAGACACAGACGTGGGCCTAAGACCACCCCAGCACTCACATGAACTGAAACAGAACATAACTGTGCACAGTACTCTACTTTTGAATTGGTTAAATGCATTTATTCACTCTATTCTGCTCGGATCAAACAACATTTTTAAGTCTCGGCAAGAAAGCATCATAGTACATTTCCCAAAATATTAAGCGTAAGTGTAAATACACACTGAAAGGTCTAAAAATCTAATTTGTGTATTATCAAGTGAGAACTATTTCCTTTGAAACAAACCGTACTTTAAAAGTGTGTCATCCTTATCCAGAGCCAACTACACAACTGTTGGATGTGAACCCAGAGTTCAGATCTCCCTCGCCTGCATTCTGCTGAGTGTAGTCTCTGCCTTCTTGCAGCTTTGACAACTACTCTGCCAATGTGATGGTGGATGGGAAACCAGTGAATCTGGGCCTGTGGGACACAGCGGGACAAGAGGACTACGATAGGCTCAGACCACTGTCTTACCCACAGACGGTATCCAAACTACCCCCCCCACACACACACACACACACTCAGTTCTATCTGAAGCCTCTAAAGTGATAGGTATAAAACATTTAAAGAGTAAAACAGGGGAACGTTCGTGATTGGCATGTCCGCAAAGACAACAAGGCCAAAACACCAAGCAGACAGAACTTGTTCCATAACAAAAGGGAATCCGCTGGGGAGGAGCGGCCAACTCTGTTCACGGACTGTAATCCTACCCGTCCTGCTTTTATGGAGTTTTGGACATAAATAATCACTAATACACTTAGTGATATGTCCTGTAAAGACATATGAGTAAAAGGCCTCAATTTAAAAAGACAGACATATGTCAGTGAATATTATGCATGTTGAGTGTTAAGTGTTGAGTGTTAACTTCATTCAAACAATATAATGTTAAGGAACTAGAAAATGTGTAGTTTATCTGTACGCATTATACTCAAATAACACAAGTGTATTCCTACACTGTTACACCAAATATGACTAGTTAGGTTGCATAATCAGTTACCTTAATTGTAAATGACATGAATACTACTTACTCAGAAGGACAAACATTTGGTCTCGTATATAAATTAAATGAAAGTAAAGTAATTCCTAAAAATATTGTGAAACAACTAAATAAAAGGATTGCTATTCTTTTGCTAAACGATAATGCAAATCATTTCATAAGTAGTTACAACCAAAGTGCAATAAAGTAAAGTAAAGTATTTTTTCACTTAAAATTAAATAGTATAAAAAAAAGTATACTGTAAGTGTCAATTCAGAATGAAGATGGATCCAACGCTCACACCCACAGATCTCCTAATCAACTAGCCGTCTCTCTGGTTCTCTCCCAGGATGTGTTCTTGATATGCTTCTCCCTGGTCAGTCCGGCCTCCTTTGAGAACGTCCGAGCCAAGGTCAGTACGCTGACTGACCAACGCCCGCCCCCCTGTGTCCCCACGCCGAGTCTGACCACCAGGAAGCATATCTTTGGCTCCGCCTGACTTATTACACTGCTGCTCGTTCAGACCTCGGCTTAGAGCGGTCTGGACTTGACCTGACCCCGTGTACAGAGACGCGCTGTAAGGCGAGGCCTGAACAAGTCCACGCACTCTGCAGAGGGAGCGAGACGGCCGGCCGTGGTTTGGTCTGCTGAGCATCATGGGACGCTCTCATATGAAACCACACTTTTGCTGAAGGGCCAACCTTCCTCTGTAGACTCCCATCAGTGATGCCTGATGATGTTTCGTGTTCATTCAACCATGCTTCCATTCAGACCGATTTATTATCTGCTAACTCTTCTCTCTCTTCTCTCTCACTCACTTTGTCCTCTTATTTATGAAAATGTACATTATGTGTGTGGTGCCCTAGTGGTACCCTGAGGTGAGACACCACTGCCCCAACACGCCCATCATCCTTGTGGGCACCAAGCTGGACCTGCGAGATGACAAGGACACTATTGAGAGGCTGCGAGACAAGAAGCTCTCCCCCATCACCTACCCACAGGGCCTGGCCATGGCCAGAGAGATTGGTGAGGCTGCGAGTGCCACGGGCACAACAACCTGCATGTCGAATGAAGATTGTCTCATTACCTTTGTTTTGCAGCAAATTTAAAAAACACCAACAGGTGTTAGTTATTGTACAGTAAATGCTGCATTTATTCTTATTTAGATATGAATGATGAACCTAAGAGGATCCAAATCAAGAAATGAAAGAGATTCCTAAATGAAGTGGCGTTATGACGTGGTTAGGCTAGCAGAGCAGAAAGACTACGTATCTGGGACCACCGTTTACTAAATCAACATCATGCTGTACTTAAGAAGACTTGGAACTAGAGATTGAGACCATAAACTCACATTTACAATGTGTACTGAGGGAAGAAATCAAGAGATAAGTAGAGTCATTTTCTCAATAACCTCTGTAGGACCAGAGGAGTCGCTTCCTGCTGGCCATTGGAGGAATCCAGATTTCACTCTTCAGAGCTTGAGGTTGAACCTTATGTTCAAAAGTGTTTCGAGCACCAGCATCCTTTTGGAAAACCTCCCCTTTTACAAACGGTCTGACAGTCTGCCCCACTCAGTCCTGGTTCTGGTTCCCCCATGGCTCCCCTCCCTCTAATGGGCCCTTCAACGAGGCGTGGGCCTCCAGCAGCGTGGTGTCGCTGTTGGCTCCTGGAGGAGCAGCGAGGAGAAGCTCTGCTCCAGGAGGATGAGGAGGAGGAGGAGGAGACGCTGCTGCTCGGAGCTGAGCTCTCCTCGCTCCGGATCGTCAAACTGCAGGTCGAAGGCTGCAGTGAACCTGCTGGTGAACCTGCTGCATGATTGATCTGATTGATGATTTTAATCCGATGAAAAGCCCCAATGACCCACCATGAAAGACTTAGCCAAAGTAGATCTAGAAACCTGTCACTGATGGTCTCTTTTACTTATGCAGGTCATTTACAACCATCAGTGTTTCAAGTAACGTTCACATATATGTTAAGGCTATGACAATGGCCTCACTTGAAGTCCGGCTGCATCACAGCACCTCCCTGATCTTTCTCCCAGCAACTGTCTTTGTAGTGCACTACTTGTCTCTTCCTGAGCGCATTTAGCATCCTCAGCGCCCCCCGCTAATCCCGCCTCATCGCATTGTGATGTTCAGTTGCCGTGACTCACTGCCTCCCAAAGGTGTCGCAGACGGTGTTAAAGGATCCAACAAACACCTCATTTGAAGCACACTGACATCCCCACGTTTGTTCCCATCCTGCCCTCTTGCTTCCTCAGGGGCCGTGAAGTACCTGGAGTGCTCTGCGCTGACCCAGCGAGGCCTGAAGACGGTATTCGATGAGGCCATCCGCGCCGTGCTCTGCCCTCCGCCTGTGAAGAAGAGGGGGAAGAGGTGCACCATGTTCTGAGGAGGAAACGTTGCTTCAACACTACACTACATCACCATGTACAACAACCACTACTTCTCTAAGAGGATGAGAGAAACTAGCACGAGTGAGTGTGCACTGCTGAGATTGCTTTCTTTATATTGATGTTTTTTCAAAGCAACATTGGTATATTTAATCCAATTTTTTTACCATAACTGAATAGGCTCATAGCGTCTCTGTGAAAGACATTGAGTGTCCACCTACTTTGTACTCATACAACCACATCAAGTTGCCATGGGGGCTGACAAAGGTCTCTATTTACTGCTTTCTGCGACATCTCTTCTTTTTCAGCCATGCTTGCTTGAATTAAGGCACTGTTGACCAGATGGAAAGATAACTATGAATACGCCTTCAGGTCTGAAGTTACCCTCTGTCCCTGATCTAAGATCAGTGTGCATTCTACTGGCATGCTGGCAAACATCTGTTTAAATTATTATTATTATTATTATTAATCCACTTAAATGTTAAGTAATGTGGGGTTTTCACCAGAAATAAAAAGGCTAAGTGAAAGAGACAGATTTATTAGAACCTATTGCTGTACTTCATCTTCTTAGAGGGCCCAGACTCGAAATCCAGTTTCATTCTTCTACCTGCTCCCTATTTTCCAATGTTTTTGTATAATTGACCAATGGGGACAATGATTCAGCCGCGATGGAGACTCACTGTCAATATGCGTCCACTAAAAGTCTTATACCGTCAATGTGTGTCCACTGAAAGTACCTATTGTTGCCTCTGACCGGCTCAGATTGTTTTAGGAAAGAACTCTACAAAATGAAAAGAGAGGAGGACTCCCGTTCTGAATAGAAACAAACTATTATCTATTAGCCTGATGTTGCTAATACAATGTGATGTGCAATGTAAGGAAACTATTGTTTGTTACATGCCATTTAGCTGACTCTTTTATCCAAAGCGACTTACAATAAGTGCATTCAACCATAGCCATACATATAACCATATTTCTTATTGAAAGATGATCAAGGGTCTGTACCAAATAAAGACTTTCTCTAGTCTGGTCCTATTCTTAGAATGTGATGTGTTTATACGGACAGGAAATGATATTCAACATTTCATGCCTCTTGCTATCAGAGGATTTCAATAAAAATGCTGATTTATTATTCAGCCCTGGTGAGTTGGCTTGTTGGAAGACAGTGGTGAACACGTGAGAGTTGGACAGAGGGGTCACAGGAAGAGTTTGTTGTGTTGGAGGACAGAAAGTGTGAAATGTCATGGCTGAAAATGATTTGGACTGTGTAGGGGGGGGGGGGTCTTTGAACTCGATGGCCACCTGTATTGATTTGAGCCGGAGTACACCGGTGCTGTAACTCTATGCATCACAGAAGAAGAACCCCATATTTAGAGTGGGGCTTTGTTGGACACACACACACACACACACACACACAAACAAACGGAAGGTGAGCGATAAAGAAAAAGGTTCTATTGCTCTGCAGGGTTCTGACATAATACAGCAATCTGAGTCTGTCAGAGGTAAAAAGCATTGATTGATAGAGCGGTTGCCCTTAGTGATTATGTTGCAGGCTCTTTAGCGTCTGCAGTGTTCTCAATACTGGACCAGAAATGGTTATTCCCATTGGACGCTCAGTCACAAATAAATGGGAAGATAGGGTCCAGGTGGAAAAAAGGCAGCATCATTATTTTTAGTTTCGTGGCAATATTCTGCATGTAGGAAATAGGTGTATTTAATGAAATTGCTGCATGGATCATGTGGATCAGGGTAATGTTCCAGTTTGGGAAAGCTGGAGCAGTCAAAGGAACAAAGCAGTGCTTGGGCTTTGGGCATCTCAGCACTATGTAATTGCTGCTGATAGAACGATGGACAGAACTATGATGTGTTCCTCTGAAAGGATTATAAGGAAATAAGTGTCAACTCATCACTTGCTTTGGGCTTTTTATTATGTTTATTGTTATTATGTTAGACCTCCACAAGTACGGCTTACTCTTGATCTATTGTTGAATAGTAGTTAGACAAAACAGATGTACTCACTTGGTTTCCGAGCCTCTTCATGAAAATAGAAAATAGAGAAATAAGATGATTTGCTGTCTCACCCGATCTTTGCAATCTTTTGTTGGTGGAAAGAATAATCCCCGTCATGTTACTTTGGACAAACATCTGATCTTAGTCCAGCGTCTTTGGGTAACTTCAACTAACTGTGAACACGTGACAGACGAGCATGCCAAACATGGGGGCTGTACACCCTTGCTGCCTCAGTTCTGCCTCTGGGGCTGTAGGAGCTTGCATGGGTCTTAAAATATTCTGTCTTAATTTATCCAATTTTTTTTTTAAATCTTGTCTGTTCCTGTGTGTGCGTGCGTGCGGGTCTGTGTGTGTGCGCGAGCATGTGTTGTCAGTGAGACTGCTTTGTTTCACGGTTTGGGGGCAGTGCATAAAAGACAGTATTGTTTTGAGCCAAGTTTTTTAGTGTCCAGTTTTTTGGTACTATTTCATATTGTATTGTAGTAATATACAAGACTTTTCAACAATCTGTGGACATAAAGAAAAAAAGGATATTATTAACATCTAGTGATGTACAGAATACTCCTCAGAAAAGGAATGCGTTATGAATATCTACATGTACCTGAATATTTAGCTCTTAAACTAAAACAATTCAAACTAAAGGGATTATAGTCGCTTGTGTTGAAGTTAGAAGTGTTGCTAACAGTGTACAATAAAGGGGCTGATCTTCTTTATGAAATGCATTTGTGTGGTTACAGGCTGCAGTGTGTCTGTCTCCCTCGTGTGGTGAGACGCAGCACTGCGGCCCACTCCGTCACGCTGTCTTTGGTTGGCATAGCATACTGTGTGGTTGAATCATGTCGTGTGGTCCTGCCTAGCTAAGGTGTTGAACTGTAGATGAGAAAAAACACAGCAAAACACTGTAATCTACTATTGCATGGAAGTTCTCTGGTTACTTGACCCACTGTAATTCTTAGGCAAGGTTGTATAATGAAATGCATTGGCCATGTACGTATGTAATGTAAGATGACCTGTATAATTGTTCCAACTGTTTGTCTTATTTTTTATTACTTCACATGTCTGTGTGGTGAAATATTTCAATTTTTTGTATACTAAATACAAATGTATATGTAAGGCAATCTGCGTTCTGTCATGATTTTTTCCTCACCAACCAGTGGAGTAGCAAAGCTTAGGATCAGCAGAAGAAACAAGCTGTAAAGGAGGTCCACCGTGGTCACTTGTGTGTAAGTAAACACAACAAGGTTAAAGGCCAACTAGCCTGCGTGGACGTTTTCTGTAGCCTCATCTAGCAACTTTTATGAAAACACCCTTACAAAGACACGAAAAAGCAACTCAATTTACCAAAGACATATTTAATGAAGTACAACATCAATTAATTGAACTTAATTGATTAATCCAGAAAGTTGTTATTTTTAGCGGCCGCCAGCTAGTCCTAATGATGACTTGCTACTTTTCAAATGAATCAAGCACATTGTAACTGTTAGCTGGGATGTTCCTCAGCTCCAGCTAAGGATAACAAGTTACACACAACAAATTGATCTAATTGTCACTGGTTCCCAACTTGATTTCCCTGAAAACAAAAGTAAAACAATATTTGTGTAAAGGAAAAGGCAGGTAAATATTGTTTTGTTGAAGAAAATGGGTTCTCGTACTCAGAGGTACTTATTCAAACGTATTTCAATACGTTTGAATAAGCACAAATAACCAAGACGACAAAGTGGGCAGGTTTAAATATTGAATTGACCTCTTATGTTGCTCAGCAGGCCAGGAATCCCCCGTCCACCAGCAGAGTGACCCCACTCGTCATGTTGCTCTTATCACTCAGCAGGAATAAGATGGTGTTCACCACGTCCTCCACCTCTGCAAGGAGACAGCTCGGTTAGCGCATAGGTTAATACACCAGTGAAATGTATACACGTCATAAAACTCCACCCACGGAAACACAACGAGGGAATCAAGTGTTGGCCTCCTTTCAGTCCGCTGGTACGAGCTCTCTGAAGAAGATTCACTATCGTTTTACAATCCAGAGACATCATGGTCACTACGGTGTCTTTCTAGACAACCATGTCGCTGGCTTTGTGATTAGATCTGGATTATATGTGGGGGGCAGGGAGCTCAATGCCACAGCTCCACCCTCCCCTCATTACTAGTGCGCGCCCCCTTCTGTCACTCAATGCATGCTAGGAAAGCCTCCAGCAGATAATTAATAAACAATAATGGATGGGGACACGCATCTTTAATTCGGACAGAAGGGCAGTTGTATCAACAGGGATCTCAAATGTGTGTGACGGTGTATCAGGAGGGGAAGAGTTGACATGGTGTCAGCCTGCTGCTGTCTGACCTGCGAAGCGGCCCAGGGGGATGCGGGACAGCATGGTCTCGGCTTTGTCGGGGTCGCTCCAGCCCAGGCGACCCATATCAGTCATCACCACCGTGGGGTTCACACTGTTCACACGGATCTGATCAAAACACAACACCGGGGCTGCAGTTCAAGCTCAAAATGAGTTAGTATTTGCGCATACAGTCACTACAGTATATCGTGAGAGTAGTACATGAAAATAACTTATTCCTGTGCCACCTCAGCTCATTCAGTCATTCAGTCAGTAACAGCAACATTACGCTTCACGTCGTCAAACGGCGGAGACCAGTTCAGATTACATTTTGCTCATGTTTAATACTCTCTTCTACATTTCATTTCAATGTTATTGTCATTATCAAAGAGATATGTTACATTTGCTGAGCAGCAAAGGATTATGGCGGTTTAAAAACACCAAGCTCCCCCACATTATAAATCAATAAACAACATTTTTTAAAAGGCGTCAGTCCCCTGACGTGAGATAGAAGTGAAAATGTATGCCGATGACACGGTTTTAAGCAAACGGGGGATCCCACACTGGATTAGCCATCATGTCTGAGCTTGTGTTCCAATACAAAACAGACTAAAGCTCATCAAAGGTGAAAGGGCTGACATACTGATCTGTAAGATCTTGTCGTAGTACTGCCTCTGCATGAGCACTGACGTAGATTGTAATACGGTTCTAGTAGTTTGAGGGTTGCCTAACAACACCCCCGAACTGATACATTTTTAGAAAGTACAGCCTCTCGTACCTTACTGCTTAAGTGAAGCAGAGTAAAGCCCAACTTTAAAACAATACCGGCCATTTGAATGATGTCTTTGGCATAGAACTTCATCAGTAATGACTAATAATATAAATCATGAACATTTAAAGTCATCAATATTTGATCAGACTCACTAACTAGCATCTTGTTGATATGATCGGTCTGAAAATAGGCACGGTTTCTTTGATCAATAATTCCGAGGGCAAACCTTTTTCTGTGTTTAGTTTTTACGCATTTCAGACAGACATACTAAAATTGCAATTTAAACCAAGGTTTTTAAATGCACACAAATTCACTGCCAAAATTAATAAAATAAAGTATGTTGTGATCTTGTGATGACATCGTTTGATTAATTCATGGTTCAATTTGAAGTGCACTTATTGAGAAGTTAAAGGATAAATGCATGTTTGGAATAATGGATCAGCTGCAGACTAATGGGGTTCCCTTTGACTCAGTTGAGAATATAAAATTGAAAGAACAAAAATATCTGCTGAAAAGCTAATTTCACCCAAGATCTCTTTAAACAAAAAGGTTCAATGTGGAGTAATTATAATGAGAAGAAGAAGAGAGAACGTATCCTTTATAAATCCCCATGTGGAACTGATTCCACACAGTGGGATCAGTGTGGAATGGGGCCCGGGGAGCAGTGTGGGGTTGGGTGTCTTGCTCCGGGACACTTCGACATGGAACATGGAGCAGCCGGTGTTCAAACCATCAACCCTGCGGTTACCAGCGCCCCCTCTCCACTCCACACTTACTTTTCTCCCATAAACAGATGCAGAAACAATTACCGGAGTGCAGGAAACCTACTATTTAGTAGTATGTAGTAAGTATTTGACGCTTAAACGTTTCAAGACACTCCCTGCTTAATATCTGTAATAGTTCTGAAACCAAACATACACCCTTGGTTGACGAACATTTTGCTGTCCTGCATTTGGACAATCTGTATTGTTTTGTAACAAGCCACTGATCCATGGAACACCATGTCTGCTGATGTGGGGAGCTGCAACACTCACTACAAAGTTGAATAAAGTAAATAAATATAAATGAAGCAGACATCATAGTGAGAGTGGAATGGATGAATGGCTGTACCAAGTTTACTGATCCCCTATTAAAAAACATATAGTATATATTTAGTGTTTAATAAATTTTATGACAACCTCCAGACGTTTTCCTTTCCCACTCTCACTCGTGCATGTTCTTAATGTAGCTCACTGTGAAATCTAATATCCAGATAATCAAGGGAAGTTGAGGATACCTGGTGGGGTCCCAGCTCTAGTGCCATTACTTTAGTCATCATATCCAATGCTCCTTTGGTGGCACCTGAACAATGGAAGGAACACAAAGACAACTTTACGGTCTCTGTCTGTGTTTACTGGGGCTGCAGCCGGGAATTCTCATTGAAAACAAACACACACACGACTGAAATGAACAAATAAACACCTGCATCTTTAGTGGCTATCACTAAGGGTCTCAGAAAATATTGATAAACGGGAGTATTAAGCGATTATGTTTTGTTTTTGCGAATTGTGGGACTATTTCAAATAACAAAAACATTGATTTTTAATGACTAGTTTATGTACACAGATTGGTGGCAGATAGCCGCTCAGACTGCACTAAACTATGCTAGGAGGTTAAGAGTGACACAGAATAGAGGAATGAAAATACACACCCTAATGTTCTGGTCGCATGGAAGGATTTGTTCCTATAAACTATTTCATAGTTGTCAATGTAAATATTCAAAATGCATCCCTAGAGGAGCGTATGTGAGCGACGTTTCATCAGCTAAGACAAAGTGAACATGAAGCTTTACAATAAAACAGGAGCAAAAAGGACAACGGTTATCTAATGTATGGTCACTCGAGTAGTCCAAAAGAAAAAGACGTTTGTTGTTGGTTGTTATGGCGACAACGTGCATCAGAGGGGCTGTGAGAGAGCTCGGGCCTTTCTGGAGACGGATGGCCTGCTGGTTAGTTACCAGTAACTGAGCGAGGGGAGAGTTGAACTAAGCAGTTGGGACATTAATGGCAAAGTACATAAAATATCCAGCCATCTGGTAGTTAGCGAGCTAGCGAGCTAGCAAGCTTTGCACGGTTTACAGAAAATAAGGGTAATAAAGTGCTCGCTCTGGTACTTTGTCTGTATCAAGTGTATGTGCGAGAAGCAGAGTGTTTTAATTGGGTTGACTGGGCGTAAAAGCTTTTTCTCCACTGAATGGGTTTTTCAGAGGTTCATCCATGGTCACTCTGTCAGACAACGGCAACAGCACAAATAAAAATGGATACCACTCTGACTATCCTTTAACGTTGATTTAGTGCGAATCTCCCTTACCCTCTTATCGGATTTCTATAAATCAACCCACGCTGTTACCTAGAAATGCATCCATCAGCTACATCTATGTTCATGCACCTGGAACGGCTCCAGGTGCATGTTGGTGCACGGTGGGTACCCTGTTACTCACAGTAGACGGTGTGGTCTCTGAGGGCGCACTGGGAGGCCTGGCTGGACACATTAACAATGGCGCCTCCTGACCCCGTTGCCTTCATACCCCGGGCAACTATCTGACCACAGAGACAGAAGCAGTTTGACAAAGCGGACAACTAAATAGAAAAGTGTGATCAAAGCATTGATGCGCTGCTCGCCTATTACAGGAGATGTATTTTAAGTATTTTTGAACATACTGTACTGTCCACGAAACCAAAACCTGAGTTAGTCATTCATGTTTAGCTTAGTAAAACATCTACAAGCAAAAAAGGGAAAAACACCACAAAGCAAACAGAAGCCAAGAATGAAGTGCAGGGATGTAGGTGCAGGTCTTGTACCTGGGAGACATGTAGCACAGCTTTCACATTGACACTGAATGACCTGGAGATGAATACACCATAGAACACTATAAGCATAAAGGGTTGCCACGTGACAAAACATTATTTTATGACTATTTGCCGCTGCAGCTTTCTATATAAAAATCCAACAATTGCGTATTTTGTCTTACTCGTCAAACTGGTCGGGCGTGACCTCCAGAAACGGCTGCAGACTGGCATAGGCCGCATTATTCACCAGCAGGTCGATCGGACCGACGTCCAGCAGAGCCGCCTCCGTGGCCCCCCAGTCGGCCAAGTCTACACACACCGGGATGATGGACGCACACTGCGACAGTGTCGGTGCAGATAGTAGAAGGGCAGAGATGAAGGAGAAGAGCACAAACTGTCATCCGACTATTATATGTAGAAGATTATATTAAAGGTTTGAGACAACAAGAACACAACAACAGAACCAAATCCTTTTAACCTACAAAACAAATGGAACCAACACTTCTAACTCATTTCACTCTCTTCACTTTGTCTTAGTTTGAATATTTTTTTACACATCAAGATGCTATAATAATGGCAGACAAAGTCTGTTTCAAAGCAATGAAGAGTGTCAGTGCACAGCGTTTTAACCCTCCTACAACCAAGTACTTTTTAACAGCACCCTCCTCCTCTTTGTCACATGACGTGAAGATTTTGGAGTCTTTACACCTCCATCACACATACACCCAAGTTAAAAGGAGTGCAGTACCTCCTGCACCAGACTGCTGAGGTCGGCTTGCGTGCGCGTGACCGCTGTGACCTTTGCCCCACAGCGTGCCAGAGCCAGAGCCGTGGCCCTGCCGATCCCTGCGACACAAAACATGCATAAACAAAGACTTATTACAGAGTGGCGCTGCCACTGTGACACACACACACACACACACACACACATTCCACATGTCTTAGGCTCTGCGACACTGCACGAACAAAGCTTTTTTTTGTTCTGATCAAGTAATTCAACTAAAATAATTGCACATCTTTACAGTATGTTATTTTATTCAGCCAAACGTCTTGTAATCATGCACCAGTGTTTCCCACACATAGACTAATTTGTGGCGGTGCGCCACAGATTCAACACCAAGCACCGCAAAATCTGTTGCTCTGCCAAGTTGCAGACTTTGTCTTTGTGCATGTAGGCTGTAACAACAAGTAGTATAGTGTGTGAAATGTGTACAACAGCTATGGGAGTTGTATATTGTGTATAGTTCTATCTAGTGATGTGTGTTGTAGTACTACCCCCCCCCCCCCCTTCTCTCTATGGGAAACACTGTGCACATTTCACAAGGGACAGCTTGGAATGATGAACCTGAAGGCTCTGTGGATTCATTATTATTAAGTCTGTGGATCGGACTGTGAGTCCAATGTCTCTTTGGGAGACGGTTTAGGGTTGAGCCATCTAGGACAGAGCTGCCCAAACCTTTTCCCCTGCTGGACAACAACTGACTGGCGAGCAAGGGGGCAAAAGCACACACTTACGTTATCGTATTGGGTTATTAAAAGCTAAATAGTACTCTGGATCGGACTACTATTTCTTTCTTTTCTCTTGCTCACTTTTGCGCCACTACAAATGAACTTGAGTGTCTGTGCCTCCCAATTATTTAGATACCAAATTGACATCCAGAGCAAACTGGATCAGATTATTTAAAAAAATAATATAATTAGGGATTGTTTTTTCTCTACAACTCCAAGGTCTATCTGAAAAATCTTTTCTGTCGGGATAAATGGGAAGATCTGAGAGTGTGGTCTGAAAATATCAGTATATACAGTGCATCCGGAAAGTATTCAGCGCTTCACCTTTCCCACATTTTGTTATGTTACAGCCTTATTCCAAAATGGATTAAATTCGTTATTTTCCTCAACATTCTACACACAACAACCCATTATGACAATTATTTTGCATATCTGTTAAAAATAAAGAACGATAACATAACATGTACATAAGTATTCACAGCCTTTGCCATGACACTCATAATTTAGCGCATCCTGTTTCCACTGATCATCCTTGACATGTTTCTACAACTTGATTGGAGTCCACCTGTGCTAAATTCAGTTGATTGGACATGATTAAGAAAGGCACACACCTGTTTATATAAGGTATCACAGTTGACAGTGGAAATCAGAGCATAAACCAAGCCACGAAGTCCAAGGAATTATCTGTAGACCGCCGAGACAGAATTGTATCGAGGCACAGATCTGGCGAAGGGTACAGAAAGATTTCTGCAGCATTGAAAGTCCCAATGAGCACAGTGGCCTCCATCATCCGCAAATGGAAGAAGTTTGGAACCACCAGGACTCTTCCTAGAGTTGGCCGTCCAGCCAGACTGAGCGATCGGGGGAGAAGGGCCTTAGTCAGGGAGGTGACCTGGAACCCGCTGGTCACTCTGACAGCGTTGTTCTATGAAGAGAGGACAACCATCTCTGCAGCACTCCACAAATCAGGCCTGTTTGGTAGAGTGGCCGGACGGAAGCCACTCCTCAGTAAAAAGCACAGGTCAGCCCGCCTGAAGGACTCTCAGACCATGAGAAACAAAATTCTCTGGTCTGATGAAACAAAGATTGAACTCTTTGGCCTGAATGGCAAGCGTCATGTCTGGAGGAAACCAGGCACTGCTCATCACCTGGCCAATACCATCCCTACAGTGAAGCATGGTGGTGGCAGCATCATGCTGTGGGGATGTTTTTCAGCGGGAGGAACTGGGAGACGAGTCAGGATTGAGGGAAAGATGAATGCAGCAATGTACAGAGACGTCCTCGATGAAAACATGCTCCGAAGCGCTCTGGACCTCAGACTGGGGCGACGGTTCATCTTCCAACAGGACAACGACCCGAAGCACACAGCCCAGATAACAAAGGAGTGGCTTCGGGACAACTCTGTGAATTGAGTGGCCCAGCCAGAGCCCGGACCTGAACCCGATTGAACATCTCTGGAGAAATCTGAAAATGGCCGTGCACCGACTCTCCCCATCTGTTACGTTCTGACTCCCCAGGAGGGGAGTGGGATTCACGCCACTGCCGAGGACGTCCTGTGACCAGTAAACGGGTATGGCGTCGTAGGTGCAAGAAAACAAACATCACCTGAAGTTGGGGTAAGCAGGCTTTTATTTAAGCGCTGTTAACAGGGGAAATGAGGAGGGCTGGCGGTACCAAAGAAAAGAACAAAATGCCTCCCACCCCCTTACCTGTCCTATCTCCCAACGAAAACCACTAACTGGCACACTAACAAGGCGCCCTACCCAAACTTACAGTAGGTGGCCCAGCCAGGTGTAGCTAGTGTTGTTAGACAGGAGAGTAACCCTACGTGCAGGTATGTAAACTCCGGAGCAGGGCTAAACTACTCCTCATCCCCCTGTAAGAATAATAACAAAGAAAAAAACAATTAATTGAATACACAGTACACCAAATCACCAGAACTAAATAACTACCCCACCATACACCAGCACTCACATACACACAACCAGAGTGACACCCCCCCGGTGAACCAAACACAGGGGTACATATACTGACAGAAGGGCATGATGGGATTGGAGATGAGTGGAAACAGCTGAACCGGGTAACGAGAGTGGGTGGAGCCAAGATGAACGGAGATCATGGATGATCAGTACCACCTGTATGAACACACACACACACACACAGAACAGGGGACGTAACACGCCCACCACAAAATGACACAACATACAGTTAGTGTCACACCGACAGTACACCACGTGCCCTATCAACGGAGACCCCTGGCACAAATCTCTCACCAGACTCGCGAGAGTGCATCAGCGACAACGTTGTCAGAACCCTTAATATGCTGGATCGTTAAATTGTACCCCTGTACAATCAACGCCCACCGCATCAACCGCCTGTTGCTGTTATACATCCTGCCGAGGAAAACTAGAGGATTATGATCGGTGTACACTGTCACAGGTAAGGCGCTAGACCCAACATACACTTCGAAGAATTGCAAAGCTAACACTAGTGCCAACGTCTCCTGTTCGACTGTGGAATATCGTGTCTGACAGGGCGTGAATTTCTTAGAATAGTAACAAACGGGCCTATCGATTCCCTTGTCATCCTCCTGTATCAGAACTGCTCCTGCACCCATGCTACTGGCGTCGACTTCCAGCTTAAAGGGCTTGCTGGAATCAGGAGCTGCTGACCTGACCTGCAACCTGATGGAACTTGAGAGGTTCTGCAAAGAACAGTGAGAGAAACTGTCCAGAAATAGATGTGCCACGCTTGTGGAATCATACCCAAAGAAGTCTTGAGGCTGTAATTGCTGCCAAAGGTGCTTCAACAAAGTATTGAGCAAAGGCTGTGAATACCTATGTACATGTTATGTTTTTGTTCTTTATTTTTAACAGATTTGCAAAAATTTGCAAAAAACAGTTTTCACTTTGTCATTATGGGTTGTTGTGTGTAGAATGTTGAGGAAAATAATTAATTTAATCCATTTTGGAATAAGGCTGTAACATAATAAAATGTGGAAAAAGTGAAGCGCTGTGAATACTTTCCGGATGCACTGTATGTCACTGGTCTTCTCTAGATAAAGACGGCACACAGTAAAAAAACACTTACAGGTCATCCATCCCTATAGAACAAGGAGACATTTAGCTAAAGATTCATACCTGTCATAGCCCAGTGTGTGGACAGTATTTGTGAAAAGTTTGACTTTGATAGAGTGAAGCAGAACAAATCTAGTAAGGCTTTAGTACAGGCCTCACGGCAGAGAAACTGGAGCAGTAAAATCAGGATTTTTTTTAGATCTCAGCCTGGGTGGCTCAATTTAATCGTCAGAGCCAAGGGATTTGAGGACCCCCACGTGGAGAATAGCGCCAGCTCCCTGATCCACTCAGAGGCCAAAACATGCAGAGCTCATTCACCGCAGTCTGCACCATTTTTGGACAAATTTGCATATGATATTTACTACTTGTTAGAGTTGTGTTTGGAGCATTTTAAACGGATAAGACCAATCTCTAAACAGTGTGACACATCATTATATTTGTTCATGATGAGTATATTTTATAAGACTGTATGTTGGAGAATTATCGAGGTTCAACAGGATTTGCCCCCATTTTGGGGGCTAACTTGGGCCCGCTGGCTCAGTTATTCGGCTCCGCTGAATATGGACGTAAATCTGTGTCATCGGATTTTGAAAGAAAAAGGTGATTGAATTTCTAGCACTGAATATTTATGCATTGAAATCATGTATCTGAATGTTTTTCATTGTTAAAATATTCAACTGCAAAAAATTAAACTGCAACATCCGGGAACCGAAGGAAGAGCAATCGATTCTAAATTCAGGATCGGGAGAGTGCGTGAGCCGCTGCATTACATTACATTACATTACATTACATGTCATTTAGCTGACGCTTTTATCCAAAGCGACGTACAATAAGTGCATTCAACCATAGGGTACAAACTCAGGAGAACAAGAAACAAGAAAGTGCAATTTCCTCAAATAAGCCAGTTTACAATTTGCTATAGATGAGTGACGTTACAAGTACAAGAGTACAAGAGTGCCCCTCCACTACGCTGCAGCGTAGTGGAGGGGCAGCAATGGTCGTGCATGTAAACAGCATAACCTGCATGTACTGTCGGGGTTATGCGTCTGCACACGCTCCGCTAAAGCCGCTGCCCCCCCCCCCCCCTACGCTGCAGCGGCTCATATGCGCTCTACAAGCGCGTCCCTGGTTTCAAAAATCCGCCAATCACTCCCAATAGCTTGTCGAAGCATCCCAGCATCATTAACTTAATTCAAAACTAGAAGAAAATGCGTATTCTAACCAGCTGTACGCTCTCGTTTAACTTCCGCTTAGTTCATGTCCAATACAGTCTGCTAATGTACAAATGTCAGCTGTCTATCACTGAATCTTACAGACACAAACCACACTGATGGCATAAAGTTAAATTTAAAACACTCACCGAAGCCCCATTATTAATGGACATGGCTGAAATCCGGTGATCATGCTAGCCGACAAGCCGAAGTTGTATTGGGGCGCTCGCTCCTTTTGCGCGACGCACGCTCCCGATCTTGAATCTAGAATCGATTGCTCTTCCTTGGGTTCCCGGATGTTGCGGTTGAATTTTTTGAGGTTGAATTTTTTCGGTTGAATTTTTTACAGTCGAATTTTTGGCAGTTGAATATTTTAACATTGAAAAATATCAGATACATGATTTCAATGCATAAATATTCAGTGCTAGAAATCCAATCCCCTTTTTCTTTCAAAATCCGATGACACGGATTTACTTCCATAGCTGAACTATTTAAATATGACATTATGATATGATTATGACTGACTATCCTATAGTTGTGAGTTCGTGTGTGTATCCTATTTTAACGCGGTCTAGCTGGGACTAGTTATATATGTTGAAGTGGAGCCTTTACCTTTACCCGCTCCGGTAACCAGAGCTCGTTTGCCCACAAATGAAATCTCCATGATCGGTTAAATCCTCCGTGAGCTGCGGAATGAAGTGCAACGAGAGGCGGTTAGAGAAGCGATGAATCCCGTGACAGCACACGGAGCTTATATAATTACTTTTACGCGAGCCAAACGACTTTCTCCTAAACCCGACATACTCAACCGGTTTAACAGCCGACCTTGTTACCTGGCGACGTTTAGAGTCATTCTACGACACATATTTGCACAAAACAGGCAGAGACGATTATTTTTTCGGTTTTATACAAACGTTACTTTACAGGAAAGTCAACGCTTTTGACAATAACAGACGCCAGTTAACATGGTCGCCTGTCAAACCGTAACACCGGCATTGAAGTCAATCAGACGGGGTTTTGCGGGTGTGAGGATCAGCTCACCGACTCAGCGGCGCTCGACTTGCTGTGCAGACTGCGGCGTCTCCGTGTTTCTCCGCAAGGGTCAAAAAGTAACACGGAAGTTATCGATCGTCTTCAACTCAGTCCCGAACAGTCACCGTGAACACGCCCCCCCCGTGCCTACATCACGTTCAGGTTTTCATAAAGGTGCCTGATATTTCTTACTTTATTCCAATAGCTATTGAAGAGGACACACTCAAATCACTGCAATAATGCACTGATAACAGTAAATGTTCCTTAACATTTCAGATTTTACACAGTATGGATTCTTCCATTAAGCACAAAAAAGAAATATTTCCAACTTAGATCTCACTTAGTATAACTTTGCTCTGTGTATCATAAATGAGTTGTGATCCAGAACAATTACAATTGTATCATTGTTAACTCTTCACTTATTTTATGGTTCAGAAACTTGTTGTATCATTTGTGTACAATGTAAGAACTCACGTCTTGTTGCTGATTGAAATTCATCAAATATTTCATTTGGTCATTGTGTTCATAGATTATTTGAAACTACCTCATCTTGTGAGTCTGCAAGTCTGCAGACATACAACAAAATAATTACCCTCAATTACACATTTTCGGTAACGTTGTCATGGGAACGTGATATGTTGTAACAAAGTGCTGTCCCATTTGTGTTTCCACCATTTCATGCCCTGACAGACTTCCACACTCACGTCAGGGGACATCAGTAAGTCTCTGAGGGGTCTGGGTTTGAGGCCTCATGGGACACCGGGATCGGGCCACAGACTCGTACACATCTGGAAGTTGTAGCCTTTACTTTATCCTTTTCCACCCAGTTTGTGATCTGGAAGCATAGTGCTTGGGCACTAAATGGTTGCATTAAATCACATGTGATCCAGTGTTTTCTCTACTATTTAAATACCAATTGAACAGTAATACAACCAAACACATAACAATGCAAAAAGGTTTTATTGTTACATAAACACAATAATACATCAGTGGTAAAGCATTTGCAAAGAACTTTCACTCAGTCTCACCCACTGGCCTGCAGTGGAACACAATGCTCTGATTTTTGATCAGTCATGTGTGCTAAAAAGGTGGACAAATGTTTCGCACACATGTTTTTTTCCAGGCAGAAATTAGTCCTAAAACCCACAAATGAGTCAGCATCTTCTGCAGGTTCGCTGCAGTTGTTTTAATAGATTTCTGCTTAGATGCCCAAAATAATGTGTTGGTTGGACATTAAACAAGTAAATACTCCTTGTGAGTTCAGAAACCTTTACATGACTTACAAAAGGTGGTTGTCTCTAAATAAGAAAACAGTAGATACGTTCATTTGTTAACATAACTTTGATGAGCAGAAAGCTAAGCGTTTGAAAGCCAATTTGCCCCACAGCTTATTTCTGCAATAATCCAAAATCCATTGGCTTTCTGTGGCAGCAACCAAACCTTCATAAAGTCACAGCAGCATTCGATACGGATTCTTTCTAGTTAACAGAGTTGGTGTAGTCAAAGAACTAGTTTAATTCATTATACTTCAGCCAACTGTCAAAACAAGTCAAAGAGGGAAGAGATATTTTGGAAAATGTTATCTACAAGGACTTTGTTTTATTTTGTATTATGAGCATCTATTAATTTGAAGTGTAAGCAGATCATTGCACCTCTTCCACAAACCGCTAACTAGGACGTATATAGCAAGTATGTTAGAAATATTCAGCATTTAGTGTTGACGTGCTAAAATGAGCTTCTTCACCTGGACTAAGGCTAGTGAGTGGTGATAGTTTTAAAAGACAAAAATTCAATGTGACATTTTCATGCTCTGCATAAACAATCATTTTAAGTGGGTGAACATATATTTTGCTTGTAGCCAACCAAGAGCCCATCTGTTTATATGCATTATCCGTCTGCCACAAGGGACGTTGGGCTTTCGGACCGTCGTTACCAGAGGAACATAATGGACAAGCAGATTTTTTTACACTGCCTTTACCATAGCAGAGGGTTTCTATTCAAAGCTGGGATTCTTGCTTTAGGCAGCAGTCAGGCGGCTAGCGGTGGCCACGTTGCTAAAGCTACCGCTAGGTAATGGAGGTAAATGGAAGACAGGGCTGTACAGAAACGAACATCTACAAGTATTTGTGAGAATCTGCTTGTTTAGTGACTATGCTAGCAGACACACTAGCTGCCAGACCGCGGAGATTCATTGTCCACTGTATGATCAACAGGAAGTTTGACCTGATGGTTGTACTAAATAAAACAGGTCACCCAAATAAATGGCATCCCTCTTTGAGGGCTGTGAATGTCCACAAGAAAATGTCATGGTAATGTGGATGAACTGTCTTTGGCTCCAATAACTCCAACAAAAGGAAAAGATCTCGATCTCAAGAAAGCTATGCTGAGCTAAGACAACAAGCAATGAAAAGACAGAACACATGATATGGTTCACATATTCACCCCAACATTGGAACATGTAACTACATCAACATACAGGAAGTGACTAGTAGTGCAAAACCATAAAGATGGGCCCGTTACAAATGGGTAATACAATGACAGTATTTGGCTGACATAAAAAAAATAATAACTACAACTGTTGGAAAAAAAAAGTGGGCACAGCCAGCATAGAAACCTTCGTCATATCAAACATCTGTCCAGGCAATGTTTGACAGCAAAGAATTCAGATTAAACCCTACATAATAAATCAGACTTCAAAAAAAGTACCTCAACAATCTCCCATTCGACAGAAACTGTCTGTATTTTATATATACTTTGGGGTTATATGTAAACAAAAATAAAATAAGTACATGTTACAATAACTTACAATAAGGGTCAGTGGTTAGAGGGCATTTCATTAAACACTCAAACCTCACATACTCTAACCGAGATTACTCGAGTTCAACCACGGTAGATGGAGTCATGTGATATTTCCTTCATTGAACAGATTAAATGAGTACTTTAATTCTCCAGCATCAGTATGAGCCACAGCAGCCTTTCAGCTAACTCCCATTTGGCAAATAGTATTTACGGGCTGAACCACTTAAGCGATGACCGAGCGAAGGTAGTTTACCAAACTTTGGGAAAAATGCTGGGAAAAAAAGTCCCTCATGTGTAAACACGTGTGGCCTACGGCTGTAGTCACAATCATGTTCTAGTATTCTTTGGCCCCAGCTGTTTAGATTTAGATTGCATTCATAAGGCATGCCATGAGGCTACTTTGGATACAGATACGCAGTGTCTTACGTTCCATCTTTCCAGCTAAACATTACTTGATCCAAAGGTGGCAGTGGGATCGTGGGGATAGCGGGTATCCAGCACTGTGGCTTTCAGTTTATGTGGCTGTGTTTGGGCTTTGGACACCAGTTGGTGTCTGGGTAGAGAAGGCAATGCACCGTCTTAAACCTGCAGAAACAGAAGGGAAGAGCATCAGGCACAAAGTAACTTCTCACGAAATGAGTTGGGTTAAGGAATTTCCAAGTAAAAAAAAGTGTGGTGTTGATTTATTAAAGTACACAGGGGGGCAGATTCGGTCAGCTCTTTTAAGATAAAGCTTAAAACCTTCCTCTTTGATATCGCTTGTAGTTAGGGCTGGCTCAGGTTACCCCGGACCAGCCCTTAGTTAAACTGCTATAGGCCTAGACTGCCAGGGGACTTCTTAGGACACATCGAGCTCCTCTCTCACTCTCACCTTCTACCATAATCAACATTTTATTAACCCAAATCAAATTCACAAATTCAGCTTCTTTCCCGGAGTTTTTTGTGCTTTCTCGCCTTGCAGGTCTGCGTAGATCGTAATTCTGTCTGGACCCTGGCCCCACGGACACCCACCACTTCTAACATCATTGATATTCACATTTCTATAACTGTAAACATTAATGCGCATCACTAACTGTTTCCATGGATCATGGTTCTATCTGGACCTTGTTCCTGCCTCCTACTGTGGCCCTGCTGACACCTGCTGCTATCATCATCATCATCATTAATTTAAATATTAATCATATTACTATTATCATAAACCAACGTTACCCTTTCCTAAAGTCTTTGTGCTTTCCCTCCCCACATCTTTTACATTGTTCATTCTGTACACATGACGTCCATTGTAGTCTGTCCATCCTGGGAGAGGGATCCTCCTCTGAAGTTCTCTCCATGGTTTCTTCCCCTTTTTCCCCATGGAAGGGTTTTTCATTTTTTGGGGAGTTTTTCCTGTTTTTCCTGTGCCGATGTGAGGGTTTTGGGACACAGGATGTCACATGTGTACAGACTCTAAAGCCCTCTGAGACAAATTTGTTATTTGCAATTTTGGGCTATACAAAATAAAATGAATTGAATATGTCCAGACCTCAAACTATCTGCATAAATAATACTGCTGTTTAGGTCACACATCGGAATCTATTTCACTCCTTATTGGCGATTGTTATTGCTGGTTCCGTCTTAATTCTACTGATGGGGAAATATGCTCGTTTCGTTGGATTGCCACTTCAACATGTTGGTATGCCATGATGTTAAAAAGCCCTGTGCTGTTTGGAAGATGATAATACATGTTGAACAGAGCCATGGGAGGGTGCAGTGTGATGAGGAGTGGAAGGGCCATGTTATTAACATGTTATTCATTCTGTACCTTGTGGGGTCATCAGCCAGTGAAAAGCCTCCAACAATGCTGACCACATTTCTTCTGTTCTCAAAGCCTCCAAAGCTCAGGGTGACCTGTTTTAAAACGTACACCAATTAAATCACAAAAGGAGAAAGAAAAACAATATTTAGGAGGCCAAAATGATACTTTCATTAAAACATGCCAGTAGCATTTCATTTATTACATGTATTTATTTATTTTAGGGCTTCCGGTCCTGGAAGTAAACCGGAAGTTGACAGTGGAAACGAAACGGCCGCTAGCTGCAGTCAGTTACATCAAGATGGAGAGAGCTTTTTGCATTGGAAGTAAAACAAACCGAGGCACGACACACTGAGGAGAACTGTGCAGAGAAATTACTCCACGTGTCAAACAGAAGGGGGGTGAGTGACAAACGGACCACTTAAAGCACTGCTATGCAAAGCTAGCTGCTAGGCTACTTCCATCTCAACATCTAACGTTACCCTGCGCAACAGTCTGCAGAGGACCACCACTGTGTCCCTAAAAGACCATAGTTTGAAAACGTCCAGGCTAAACGTGGGGGAGACTGTTCGCACTTCAAATACACTTCAAACATAAATTATAGAGAGTTGAGAGCAAAGTGCACAGCAGGAAGGAGGAGTCACTAGTTCAACATGCTCCACCAGTTGGAATTCTGCCTCCAAGATGATCAAATGTGTGTAGTTTTTTGTTTAAAATAACATTAAACAATTAAACAGTGTCCATTGTCAGGACTCATGGAGGACAATCCCATGGTTCATCATGTTTAGGTGGAAAAATCATTTTTATCATGATTCCTTTTCACTACTTTCCTCTCAACAATATTGGTATTGTTTCATCGGTTTTGTTTTATGCATATTGTTGGAAAAATAAAGTGATGATTAAGGTGGAATTAGTCTGCAGTTCACATGTGTGCAGAATCATTTGGTGGAGGTGGGCATGGAGTCAAGTCCATTCTCGAAAATGCCAGATTTCTCAAGTGTCTCAAATGTTAGGCCGTACCATACACAAACCACAAGAGCACACTCACCTGCTCCAGCACAGTGTCAGTGGGCAGCTTCTGAAGGTTCTCCAGGTGTGAGTGGAAGAGGTGTGTGTGGGTTAGGGTCACCTCCAGCAGCGCTTCAATGATGTAGCCGATGGTGCAGTCGTCCGGTAGTCGGATCTTCTCTGCAGTGCTGATGAAATTTCCCAAACTGAAACCAGAGGACAGCGTTCAGCCCACAAAGCCTGGCCAAGTGGGTTCACAAAACAACTGCAGCTTGTTACAATAGCAATTTCCAAACTCACTTTCTTCCAAAGTGGAAAATAATAATATCATATATACATATATGTATGTTTACTTTGACCATTAATTTAAAGGCGTTTGTGTGTGAACATTTTAGAGTAGATGTTGAGGTGGTAATCTCAAGTGCAATGCAGAAGTGTCCTAGCTCTTGTATTGTCCAGAGTGACCACCAAGTTCTTTCTTGATTAATTCCCTCAGTAAACATTGCAAACATGAGTTTATGATCTCTCTCTAGTTTCAAGTCTATGGTCCATTTAGTGTCATATAAACCAGAAAGCAGGGTATGTTCTAGTGTGGGGCTACTTTGATTGAAACGTCTACCAGAGCTGTATACAATACCAAAATTTGGTAACCTCCGATCATTGATTGCTAGAAAAACTATATTCCAACGGTTATAATCCAACATGCCAATGGCAAAATTGTCAAATCAGAGCTTCAAAACAAGGATGACTACATCCACTCTCATATAGAGTCTTAAGAGAGAAACCTTAACCAGCAAAGTATGTACCCTGTCGTCGGAAGGTACAAAAGGTGAGTCTAGACTTACAAACTCATGAGGGGTGAAAAAAGACACAACGTCCTCTTTACCTTTTTTGACGACTACATACTTTCACTGGTTACCCCGTTTTGACGTCACATTGCAATGACTTGTTGGTAATTCCCCTGGGTTAAGGGTTAGGGTAATGCTGACTTACGGAAAGGGTTCATAAAGCACTCAAAATGCCTCAAACACTCAACGATGTGACGATCGGACAGCCCTAAACCCTCACGGAGTTAGCGGGAGCATGCTTTAAAGCAGGGGTCTCAAACTCAAATCAGCTGCGGGCCAGATGCAGCCCACTTCAACCGAACGCGGGCCAGACTAGCGTCCGAACGGCATGGTCGACAATAACACAACTTAACACTCACTTTCAAAAGCAGTCATTGAACCCCACCCTGGGGGATCGGTCCGAATGAGACTACAACACTAGTCCTCCTTTAACTCAGCGGGGGAGACCTAAGGTCATGTGACCGTGGAATTCCTTTATAGCCAAACGTGAAGTTACGTGAATCGAAGCTGCGTAGTAATGGACGGAGACGCTCGTCGGTGACGTCAGATGCTTCATGTGTTGTTAGTGTGAGTCGTAAAGGAAAACTTTATTAAACGAGCGATGCTAACGGTTAGTCACATGATCACCTGCGCGAAAGAGGGCAGGAAATTGAATTTCACCCTCCTGCTCTCTGCACCTCGGCCGACACACACGACCCGCCCCCCATGTCAGTCACATGCATGCCACGTTCACTGGACAAGCACACAGTAGGAAACCAGAACATCATAACATGTCCCACACAGCAGCTGACAGTGGGGTTACAGTATAAAACTTGCGGGCCGCACTAACATTACACTTTCATATTAAGGATGGGGCCACAAAATATCGTCCCGAGGGCCGCGAGTTTGAGACCCCTGCTTTAAAGTCTGTTAGGGTTCCGATTGGAATTGGCTGTTAGTCTCCTCTCTGCGCTGACTGCAGCTGGGACTGCTCGCGAGACGCGAGGCTCCTGTGAGGCTGACGTGCTGAGGACAGCAACTGCAGAACAATACGTGCTTTCATGTCAGACACAAGAAAAGTCTCCAATAACACCAGAAAAAGTCACTAGATTTGTAGCGAGAAAGTCGCCAAGATGGTAACACTGATATGGAGTGAAAGGAAGAAAAGTTGAAGGGGAAATTAAGACGCTATTGAGTTTATTAACGTTGATTGGGCAGGGCTCGTCACATCACATCTAAGATGTTTTTACCTTTTCTCCTGGTCTCACTCTAATCTCAGAAACGCCTGCCGGCCGGTTGACCCCATCTCTAAATAAGAACTATTAACTATTAACAAACTGAGACCTATTTTGATTAAAAAAAACAGTGAAAAGTGACAAGTTGACAGATCAGGGTAAGTCCATGACCTACCTAGCCCATGGGCTCATTTTCAGCGCCAGGCCTCTGCTGATACAGAAACCTGCTCCACCTGTGGCAAACCAGAACTTGACAGACACCTGAAAAGAGACCGCCAGATGTTAGGAGTGGAATAATCTGAAAAAGATAGACTTTCTTTTAAATAAATTTGCAGCACCCTCTTTTCTAAAAGACTATGGTGACCCTGAATTTGGCATGATGTGCCAGTCGCTTAGGATAGGTGTTCGATGACTGACCGATCCGTCACTCTTGACCCTCTCTGCAGCCTCTATTGGATGATCCAGACTGGGCCGGCCCAGGTAGACATCTTGGCTGTGGTGGTAGGAGGAGAGCAGCCCACGCAGACTGGGCAGGATGACGTAGTTATCATCATCCACGTGGCAGAACCACCTTCAAAACACACACAGACGCATGCACATAGCCAGCATTGTACCTTACTTCAAGCAAATAAGTCCTCAGGGATTGTAATCAACTGAAATATCTTCTTTGGTTTGTTTAAATTGACTGTTTTTATTGCATTCCTGCAGTATAGAAAAATACTTCACCCGTATCATAAGATTTTCTATATAGCCTCTCACCCCTTGTTACCAGGAATTCTAAAAGAAAACTGTGGTGGCGGCCGTGGTTTGGGTCGGCTGCAGAGGGGACGGAGAAGCGAGTGCCAGGAGGGGGCATAATTGGCCTCAGGTGTGTTTAATCAGTGTGTGTGTGTTAAGTAAGAGCGATCCGGGGACGGCGAGAGAGCAGACGAGGAAGCCGGAGCCGATCGTGTGTTATTGTTTGGAAACGTGTGAATAAAAGCATATACAATGGACCCAACGACAAACCTACAAACACAGCAAAACATCTAATTTCAGCCATGCAATGGGTGAAGTCGCTTATTGTAAAGATGACAATGTGCAATAACCACCGTGGTATGTGTACATATACATATATTTATTTAGTACTTTAGTTACTGTGGCCGTTGCACTTTTTTAGCATTATACTGCTGCTCTTGTTTTTTCACCATGTATCTTGTGTGCACTGTCCACTTTGCTGCTGCGATCTTGTGAATTTCCCCATTGTGGGACTAATAAAGGAATATCTTAGCTTATCCTAAAGGCTGGCGCATGCTTCTGTGTCTGTACAGTCGTGTCGACGCACTCGTTTCAATTCATGGTTCTAAAAGTCTTGCGTGTGAGCAATTCACCGCCAGAACAACAGGTGGAGTAACGTTTTTTTTTGTCGAATACGAGCTTCACGTATTTGTGTGTAGAAGTTGTTGGTTTGTTTACTTTATTTATCATAGACTTTTATAATGGCGGTATTGTGCTATGAAACCGGAAATGTGAGACTCCATAAAGGATGTAGTTAGCAGACCAATCGCAGCCTTGTGGGCTGCAGGAGGCTTGCGTAGCTTTTGACGCAAGCCTAGAAAAATGGGTCGACGGACGCAAGCAGGTGTGAAAAGGCACGCTTTTATATTTTTCCAGTGCCAATGTGAAGGTTTTGGGACAGAGGATGTTGCATGTGCACAGACTGTATTATATAATTGTTTGCAATTTTGGGCTATAAAAATACAATAAAAATAAAAAAAAGATAAGTGATCAGTGATCAGTAAACATGACAGTCTTCATCAAAACTTCAAGGTAACGCAGGGCAAGTCAATTATTTACAAGCAGTCATTCAACAGTTCAGTCCACATCTTACTCACTTCTTCTGAGACTCGATAAATTTATCGTACTCCACTGACATCTTGCAGCACAGAGCCTGGCGGGTGTGAGCCGCGGAGCAGTTTGTGTTGATGAGGTTGACTCCTGGTGAAGAGACAGAACAATTCATCCCAGGCTTCATTTTTCTCAAACAACATCATTGACTTAAACAAGTCAGGAAAGTCACAAGCAGCTGCAGCGTGTTTTGCATCTCCATGGACTGAGAGCTGCAGTGCAAGAAGGAAGCTCCAAAAGCGGCACCTAAAGGCTCGACTGAAGTTTGCTGCTGATCACATGGACAAAGAAAAGACCTTCTGGAGGAAAGTTCTGTGGTCAGACGAAACAAAAATCGAGCTGTTTGGCCACAATGCCCTGCAATATGTTTGGAGGAGAAAAGGTGAGGGCTTTAAACCCTGAGAACACCAAGCCTACCATCAAGCACGGTGGTGATAGTAATATGCTGTGGGGCTGTTTTGCTGCCAATGGAACTGGTGCTTTACAGAGAGTAAATGGGATAATGAAGAAGGAGGATTACCTTCTTCTTAAATTCTTCAAGATACCTAAAATCATCAGCCTGAAGGTTGGGTCTTGGGTGCAGTTGGGGGTTCCAACAGGACAATGACTCCAAACACACATCAAAAGTGGCAATAGAACGGCTAAATCGGGCTAGAATTAGGGGTTTAGAATGGCTTTCCCAAGTCCTGACTTAAATCCCATTGAGAACATGTGGACAATGCTGAAGAAACAAGTCCATGTCACAAAGCCATCAAATTTAACTGAACTGCACCAATTCTGTCAAGAGGAGGAGATTCAACGAGAAGCTTGCCAGAAGCTTGTGGATGGCTACCAAAGGCGCCTAATTGAAGTGAAAAGTATGTAACCAAATACTAGCACTGCTGTATGTATCGTTTTGACCCAGCAGATTTGATCACTTTTTCTGTTAAACCATAATAAGATAATAATCTCATAAAATAACCAAACTTCATGAATGTTTTTTGTGACAAAGAAGTATCTGTTCCAATCACTACCAGAGAAAAATCTGACTTGTAGAAATAACGGGAAACTCATGAGAGCCATGACATTATGTTCTTTACAAGTGTATATAAACGTTTGACCACAACTGTATATTTGTACACAACTGCACTTATTTTATCTGTTGCTGTGTGTATTGCACTACTTTAGAGCAATGAAGGAACTAATGTCTCATTCTGGCCTGTATACATTTGAATATATTATGTTCTAAAAAACTATTTGGTGTCCCAGCTGTATTCTTATCTTTATTGTTGCAACCAAATGTATTCAGATTAGCTTGGTCACTGCATAACATGGCCACAAACAAAACATTTGTAACACTTATTTACTGTGACAACTGTTACTGTCAGCTGCTTTTTACCCGTTCTCCTCTGCAGCTCGCTGTCCTCGCCGTCAGTAAAAATGTATGTCTGAAAACACACAAAGACACACTGTCAGAAAGGGAAAGTGTACACTCATGCTCTCCTCCTGGGACATGCTGAAGAGCTCCATTGGTGTCTCTTGTAGAGGAGGACCAAAGACAAGACAGCAGACACATGGCTCTCTCCCACCACTGGAACTGGAAGTAAAACTAAAGTTGTATATCATGGGGAAACAAGCGACCACTCATTACATCCACAGCCTCAGACCCTGAGAAGTTCTCTCCAGACCTCTACCGAGCATCCTCCCCGTCACACACAGCATCTACTGACGTGGCTCTTTAACTCAACCTTCCATTAAATTACTATCGACTGCCTCTTTATGTGACCACTGCACTCACACGTTGAAGCCTTTTACAGGCAGCTTTACTGATCTAAGAAGTAAAATAAAACAGCAGCAGGCCTGTGAAGTCCGTCGGTGTATGTCAGGACGCAGTTAGCAGTGTAAAGGTCGTCGTGGCGCAGGGGTTAGAGAAGGTGTGCTGGGAAGCACAAGGTTGTTGGTTCGATTCCAGGCTGCCCCATGTTCCACGTCGAAGTGTCCCTGAGCAAGACACCTAACCCCTAATTGCTCCCCAGGCAAAAATGTGAAAAGCCATGGGTTTAAAGTGTAATGTAAGTCGTAAGGAAGCGTCTGCTAAATGACCTGTAATGTAATGTAATGTAAAGGGCAGACAGCTGACCCAGACCAGAGTCACAGGAGGGCTCTGTCACCGTGGACCTGGACTAAGCCAACTGGAACTCCACTGTCCTCTGGAACTAGAACATTTGTGGGCGGAGTGGGAGCAGAGTGTTTGTGCAAGATTAAGTCCATTCTGATCATCTTGCTAGCTTAGTGGTTACCACTTCATGCTTCGGTACCACAACGTTGCTGGTTTGATTCCAACCTTGGGACCTTTGTCAAAACACTATGACTAGTGCACGCTAGTTCTCGCTCTCTCTCTCATCGTTCACCTGGTTGAAATGATCGGTCGGTTTCTTGCAATCATGTGACAGCTCTAGATTTTTTTCTTCAATTATCTGAGCATTTTATTTAGTGATCTTTGTCGTGACAAGAATTTTCTTAATTTAACAAAAAGGTTGCTCAAATGCTGTGCCTAGCCCCATCATAAAAGAAGAAAGAAGCGGAGCTCTCCTCACCTGTTCTTTAGCTTGGGAAACCCAGGTCTGGATCAGCAGCTCCAGTCTGGACTTGTGGTACTTCCTGGTAGTCTTCACTGCAATAAAAATGTCCTTAAAGTCTAACGGGTCCCGTGACCTAAAACTTGACAATTGCCCCCCCTTTCCTCCAGGGGTAGTTCCTGTTGTGGAGTCCATCTCTCTCTTGTTACCATGGATATCATCCCTAGTACCTTCAGTCCGCCCCGCTGAGCTACTCAGCTCTGTGGCAGAGTCTGTTTTCCCTGCATGAACAAACACTCCTCTGACACGTTGGGGCGAGCCCAACCGTGCCGGTTGGGTATGCGGTCGAGGTTGGGGTTGGTCCACTTGGCGGGTTGGGGGCTGGAGGGCAGGAATGAGCAGGAGCAGTAGGCCGCAGAAAGCAAGGGAAAACAGGAAGCAGAACTTGCTGATGCCCACCGAAGCTAGGTGCATCCTGACAGGCCGACAGAGGTTCATCAGCCTCCAGGGCTGCAGTCACTTCCAACACCACCCTATCCCATTCTCACACCATCACATGGGACCCTGCAATGAGAAAGGGGAAGACTTAACAGGCTATCTTTTATCTCTCCCCCACTCATTTGGTTTGTGAGGAAAACCTTCTGATGCACATCGTTAAGGTTCAACTGAGCCCTGTTGGATTGTTTGTAACCCCCCCCCCACACACACACTCAAAAACTGTTTCCAATACTGGTTTCGGTTTCCCAACAAAGGGCTCCGTCTAGTTTGCTAGAGTACAGGATGTACTCACGGCCCACAGGCCGGAGTTTGAGACCCCTGATTTAGAGAGAAATTCATGTAAATTCATGCAATAACTTTCCCAAGTTTGGCAGTAACGTTGTTAGATAATATAAATGTTTCATCTAAATGTAAATGTTAAATATAAATGTTAAATGTAAATATTAAATATAAATGTTGAGTCTACATACAAGACTTGACGACTGAACATTACAATATTTACGCCGATGATTTGACTGGTCTGGCCCGCGTGACATCAAAGTGGACAGTATGTGCCCCCTACCTAAAATAAGACAGACACCCCTGCTCTATAACGAGAGCTAATTCATTTGGACTTGCCAGCTCGTCTTGCTGCGGCGTGAATTACCAGAAATATTGTAATGTTCAGTCGTCAAGTCTTATATGTAAACTAAACATTTAACATTTATATTTAACATTTCTCTCTAAATGTTTGAAAAAGTGACATATGAATATTTACGGATTTCTTCCGACGAAAGCATTTCAATCTGATTCTCGTTAAAACATTTCGTTTTAATAATGGCGATATTGTGCTATGAAACCAGAAATGTGAGACTCCGGAAAGGATGTAGTTAGCAGACCAATCACAGCCTTGCGGGATGCGTGAGGCTTGCGTAGCTTTTGACGCTAGTCTAGAAAAATTGGTCGAGCCGCAAGGGGCTCTCGCGTGTCCTTGCGTCTCTCTGGAAACGCAGAAGCATGAACTAGGCTTTAGACCTATTGTTATTTTGCTTCACAGGGTTCGAATCCAGGTCGAGACGATCTTTTAATAAATATATTTTCTTCAATGTATTTCTTCATACGTGGCAGTGACGTAGTGCTCACTTATACAATCGTAATCGATGCAAAGGACATGTGATGATTTTTGAACCTTTTCAGCAAAATGTTAGCGAATGTTTGACCAATCAGGTGGCCGAGGCAGAAAACATCTGCCGCTGTATGGGGGAAACAAACACGCACGCGTAGACAAACCAGTAGGTTCAAAAACCAGTAGGCACGTAACACCGGTAACAGGAGAGGACACCCTTTAAGTCGCGTCCCACTACGGGGAGCATGTAGCTTTAACTGGAACGCAACTAGCGCTAGCTTACTGCACAAGCTGCAGCCTGGCTGAGCGAGACCGCGGCGCTCGCGCCCACCTTTCTGTTCCCACGGGACCTCACAATGAACGAGGGTTTCGGTAGTTGTTCTGTCCTCTTCAATCCGACTGTCGTACTACTTTGGTCTTCGCTGACTTATTAAGGATACGGACACTTCTTCAAGTGAGCTTGATGACTTAGTGCTATCACGCGCATGTATGTATAAAGGGAACACGGAGGAACTTCCATCGCGGCTCGTCACTAGTAACCAAACATTCCTCTCAGCACGGACAGCAAGCGGACCGGACGATACACAAGATATTCCGGAACAACATTTCAAAATAAAAGATGAGTGGAAGCGAATAATCAACTAAAATGTTTACGAAAAATAAATTAGTTTAAACTTGTTTTATTGTTAAAATGCGAAAGTGAAAGTTTCATCACATATCTCAATCATTGATTCATAATAAATTAATAGTCACATTGTAGTCGTAGTCACTCGTCCTCGTGGGGGGGTTGGTTTGGTTTTGTCCTATTGTCACATTGTTGAGTGTTTGAGGCTCTCTGGCATCCCTCTATGAACCCTCTCTGCAAGTTAACATTCGATTCTGACCTACAACGTCTCAAAAGCATAGAGACGTAAAAAGGTACATGTGTGTTCTGTCATATTAGAATGTATACATTTAAAACATTAAGGATTAAAGATAGACAAAAAACAACATAAAAGCAGTCTATATTTACTAATATATATATTTTTTTTATACAAAAAACACAGTAGAAACAATATTTGACCTCTCATTTCATGGGGAAGAGCCTGGGAGACGGTCAAATCACATAGTAAAGAGCATGAAATAAATACCCCTAATTGTAAATCATATGTTTTGACGTTGTCATGGTGACATGGCATGTGGCAGCAAAGCGCTGTCCTATTCATATTCACATCATTTCAAGCCCTTACACACTCTCACGCTCAACCATTTATCGGGTGACGACAGTTAAATCCCTGGGGATTATGCAGACAACACACAAATCTACATAACTATATTGCCAGTGGACTATGATACAAGGGTTGGGTAAATGCATTGAACAAGTAAACAACTGGATGTGACAGAACTTTCTTCAATGAACAATTAAAAGTCAGCACTAAGCTTCAGTCACTGATGTTAAAAACCATAAATCAAGCCCGAAATAGGTGTAGTTATGGATTGAGACCTCAATCTGAACAGCATATATCCAGGACTTGTCCATGCATTCCTCTCCAGTAGACTGGACTATTGTGACAGTGTGTTCACATGTCTGTGTAAAACGTCAGTCAATCAGAACGCTGCAGCTCAAGTCCTCACTAAGCAAGAAAGTGATGAGTGATGATGAGTGCACTGCAACTTTGATTATATTCTCAATTATTTTTAAATTTCAGTTTATTTTGCCTTATGTTTTGATGGTTTTATGTGAACTACTTCAATTAGTTATTGTTACAATGTGCTATATAGTTACAATTGCCATGCCTTGAGGGTTTGAGGTTAGGGTTTAGGAGGAAAGTGGGATTGGGCCTACGTGTGTTGTTTGTCAATTACTCACTCCTCCATTGTGACAGGTTTTCCTGTGTTTTAGTCCCTCCCACCAAGGATGCCTCTGGAGACGCAAGAGAGGGAAACACGAATGCTGACGCACAACACTTGGGATGTATTACAAACCATTTAGTATAATATCAATGTTCTCTGCACAAGCCACCATGAATGGAAACTTATGGGACATAAAAAACAGCAACAATAAAGTTAAAATGAAACAGCTGAGTTCATTAAACCTGTGGGGATTGGGTGTTAGGATGTTTGACCTCAGTGTTTTTACAATTCTGGCCGTCGCCGCTGGAATTATTGCATTTTATTGTTATCGATACTTTTAAGGCAAAACTAGGTGATTGACCTGCTATTCAGAGAGAGAGAGAGAGAGAGAGAGACAACTCAAGTCACAAGTTAAATCATCTCCTTTTTGTTTATTACTGATCACAAACACAGTACCTTCCACTTAGTGGTCACTGACCAACATCCGCTACACGTGTTGTCTATGAAACTTTTGTTTTCTTTGTTGCGTCCTTTCAGTATCCCAATACAAATAAACTAAAACAGGTAAATTGTAAACAATTAAATACAGTCTCAAAGACTTGGATGATCTGACCATCCTGATTGCTTTTGTAAAACGTAACTGCACCTCAGTTTGAACAATTTAGCATTAATTAACCCTTCCTGGTTCTGGTGACCAGATGGTCATTTGTTGAATATATTTTTTTGATTTTCAAATAAAGCAAAGCAAATATATGTTGGGAGAGTTCTTTTATTTAACACCAAGGATGAACAAAGTTGTGTCAATTCTTTCCCTAACAATATTATTTCTTCACATTTCTGAATCAGATATTGATTAAAAACAATTCACTTTCAGTTATTTTAGGCTGAATCCATCATTTCAGTTCTCCACCTGGTTTACAACATCTATTCACACGGAGTGAGCACAGGGACGTTACAGATCAACAGACAGTGGGCACCAACGAGCTGCATGTGCAGTATATTAGGATTATTCCAGTTTATCTGACTCTGGTCTTAATTGTAGTGACTGATATTTGGACATGCCAAAGTTGTAGCAGCAGAAACGTTCCCTTCAGTTACATTCCATCTGACTTCTCATGCTTTTACCTGAGGACATGGCCTTGAATACTGTTGGGATGTATTGTTACTTGAGAGCAGTTCTTCTAAAAACACTGGGACTTCAACAATGGTTGTGTGAAGATCCTCTGATGACACAGGAGCAAGACAACAGCAGGTTTTACAGTAATTTTCATTTGCACAATAAATCTTCAAGGGTTTTTCCAATCCCTCTGTTCCAAGCTGTACATATGCACAAGATAACTTTGCTGTCACGTTGTACAGCCACGTTACGCTGTCTACACTGTCTGCACTAGGGGTGTACACCCTTTAAGGCTTGCAAGCTACTTTTTGTGTTAGCAAGACTTGGAGAGGTATTTACATTAATTAAAATGCTAAATCAGTGTGTGTGTGCTTTTTACTTGGTCCAGCAAGGATTGCTAATTAGCGCTACAAAGTTTTTGACCGTGCATGCGTGGCGAGCCATGTGTCAGAAAACAAGTGGGGGTTTTTTAACGGCAGGCAATCTACCGGCACTGCATTGGCAATCGACCGTGGTAATAGCTGTTTATCTACTTCTGTATTCAAACCAGATTGGTCTACCATTAAACAGGCCGTGCCGAATGTATTTGGTGAAAGCTGTCTTTGAAGGAAAGCTGACAGAGATGTTATGATGGCAGAGGTGAGCACAGTGACGGTTTTGTGCCACAGCAATAGAAGCTCCAGTGTGGGTACAGCTTGGCACGTGTGCATTGGAAAGAAACCTTTCTAAAGATCACATTATAGCTCAAACACAATAACAATTTCACAAATGGATCACTAGAGGGTGACAGAAGGCTGTACTTGGGCTCATGCACACAAATGTGTCAACACATACACAAAGGAGAGAAGGGAAGGGGTCTCCGATCATTCGTCGAATCGTCCCTCCAGGATGCTCTCAAATGAGAAGGGGAGAAACTTGAAGCCCTGGCCACAGTAGAACTTGTTCTGGAACTCCACCCTGAGAGAGGAGCACAAGCAGGAAGAAAGTGATGGTGAGAACTGGGGTTTGATAACCATGGTTTATTATATCACCACACAAAAATGGCTGAACCAGTGAGTAAGTGAGGAAGATCCGTTTCTGTATTCTCCCACTTTATTCACACATCTTACCCCACCAGGTAGCATGACTAAGTGTGCAAAGCTGTCTAAGCGCCTGACTCTCTGAGAGACGACATTGGTTTATTGTCTGCACGCATTGATTATATCCAGTGAGATTATCTTCATAAAATGAGCATACGTCTGCTCACTCATACCTGCTCCAGTGACCACATCACCCCCATCCTCCAGAACCTCCACTGCTCCCCCGTCCCACAACACATCCACTTTAAAATCCATTTCCTCACTCTCACAAAGCCCCCCTCCCCTCCCCCCTCTACCTCACCGACCTGCCCCAGCACCACACTCCCTCCGTTCCTCTGATGCCAACCTCCTGTCCACCCCACTCAGGACCGAGCACCGGACCTGGGGCGACATCGCCGCTCCAACGCCGCTCCCTCCCTCTGGAACTCACTCCCCAAACACATCAGAGACTGCACCAACCTGTCAACTTTTAAGTCACTAGTCAAAACGCACCTTTTTAGATCTGTTTTTATTGTGTAATTAGTGCTGTGTTTTTATATGATGTCTTTGTTCTATGTCTATTTTAACCATTTAAAGTGTCTTTGAGTATTTTGAAAAGCGCCATACGCATAAAATGTAGTTTTAAAAATGGCAATACTTTTTTTTGTTATTTACAAAAATCTTAACTATTAAAATTTAACACTTCTAGTCTACATTCATGTGAGCCGTTGAGCCTGCTTCTTTTCTGGATTTATGATTAAAATGTTTATACAGGTATACATATTTATTTGGTATTTTAATCCTTTTCAATGTATTTAGATCAGCACCGCAGGTGCGTTTACATTAACTGTTTAGGAGCGAATCAATTGGCCAATAACAGAATATCCTTACGTCTTAGTTGTTTCATGTGTTGGACCTGTTTTGTTCTGTCCAGAGTCAAGTCAATACTAACATAAATCATGTTTGTGAAAAGTATCACCAAGGCTAATAGAATCCTACCTGAGGGGAACATGAATGTCTGGGCCACATTGTACTATCCACACGATACTTTAATATGCTATTCTGTACAGAATTGGTTCACCAACCAGCAATGCTGTCCCCAGAAGGATGGCAGTAAAAATAATGTCAGTAAGTATGTTAGCATGTCATTTCAAAGCGTGATGATAAATAGAAATTCATTGGGCTGTTGCCACATGTTTTAGAGGCAGGGCACATTCCATTAGAAAAGTCAAAGGGAAATCCTTCTACAGAGCAGTATAGTCTGCTCAGCACTCTCAAAACGGCTGATAGTGTACAAAAATGAAAGATGACAATAAAAACTAGAAAAGGCATTTCCTGCTGAAAATGCGTTGGAATGCAAAAAGCTGAAAGCTGCACTGAATATTTAAAAATAGCTGAAAATACAGAGAGTTGAAGGGAATTTGAATACATTTGCTGAATATTTAAAAATAGCTGAAAATACAGAAAGTTGAAGGGAATTTGAGTACATTTGCTGAATATTTGAAAATAGCTGAAAATACAGAAAGTTGAAGGGAATTTGAATACATTTGCTGAAATAAAAGATATTAGAAAAGCTGAAATTAATTTGAAATAGTTGAAAATACAGAAATGGGAGAAGCTGAAAGGAATTTCAATAGATTTGCTGAAAAAGCAGAAATGAAAACAGCTGAAATAAATGTGAAATATTGCAAAACAGAAGTTGCAGGAGCTTAAATGAATTTTAAAAAGTACAGAAATAACAAAAGCTGAGATGAATAAAAAGAGGTTTAAAATTGTTTGTAGTAATGTTAGTTGTAATTTGGGTATTAGTACTAGCAGTAGAAGTCGGTTTAGTATCAATAGCAGTAGAAACAGCTGGAATACTGATACTATTAGCCATAGTAGTATTTTTAATAACATTAGTAGTAGTTGTATTAATAGCAGTAGAAATACTAGTAGTATGGTAGTAGAAGTATCAGTTGTAGTTCTACTAGAAGTACTAGTAATATTCGTAGTGGTTATAGTAGTATTTGAAAGAGCAATGCGTATTTCAACGAAACCGCTTCATGGTTAAGGTACAGATAATCATTGAGGCTTTTAGTTTGTAATGATGGAATTGGGTGAGGGGGGGTTGGGAGACAGAATGTTTGTTATTCAAACTAAGAAGTTTTTAATTAATAGGCCTCATCTCAAACATTACAGTAAAAATTCCCTCCATGGGGCTTTTATTTTGAAATTATTGGATTGGGTGGGGTGGGGGGGTGTAGATAGAGGGAGGGAGGGTGAGAGGGTGAGGAAGGGAGGGGTGGTGAGGAAGAGATAGAGGGAGAGAGAGAGAGAGGAGAAATAGACAGACATACTGACTGACTGAGTGATAAACAGTGAGAAGAGGTCAGGGTGGAGGGGGAGGGGGGGCGAGTGTCTTTATCATATTGGTCTGTTGACAGAAAGCATAGCTGCGTCATGTGACTCCACTAATCAGGTCATAGGAGC